TGGGGGCTGCCTGCCGCCCGCTGCCAGCCGCTGGGGCTCACGGTGGCCGCGGTACGTTGCCTTCTGTGTAGGCACGAGTCTGCCGGAAGAAGGCTTCCTCCAGGAGTGGGACGTTTTCAGATAAGATAGTGAGAGGCAGAAATAAATAATGATGGGGGAAGATAAGTGTGAAAGAAGGACAAGGGAGGCAGAAGTTAGACAATTACTCCTCTGAGGATCTGCCTTTTGGTTCAACAAAAGTTCTTTTTTGGTTTTGGGCTTGCTGGGATTTTCCTAAAATCAGGAAGTTCCAAGTTAGGGCAGTATTTCAGACCGCGTTAGTATCCTGCGGACAAGGCAAGTCTTTTATCTGATTTCTTTCCATTGGAAAAAAGCAAGTATTCTTTCATAACCCTGCACAGGATAGTATGAGGAGGCTGTGCTTGCTCTAAGTATTGCATGGTTAATAGTAAGTTGCAGAGCTCATTGGCGACTCTTACTGATACGTCTGACTGCTGACTGCTAAAATTAAAGGCTGGCATACTGCTCCAGCTATGCTCAACATTAGCAAAATGAATGGACTTCGCTGCTGGAAATAAGAGCAGGGAAAAAATGTTAAAGGTTCACAGACAAGGAAAGCGCAATTGCTTTCCAATAATAGTCTGCCAGTAACCATGATTTAAAAGTCAAATAAGCAGAACGAGCAGAAGCACTCCTGAAGCGTAGCTGCTTATCTGAAAAATGATTCAGATGGCATTATGGAGTTTCTTGTTGAATGTCACAGTGATTTCCAGAACCAGCGTTCCTGCTTGAAACACAGAAAGGGGAGAGGAAAGATACTGCCAAATCTGAAAATACAATCTGGAGTTTGAATCGATGCGAGTTTCTTCTTCTTTTGCCTAGTGGGTGGCCAGAGTTACAGCCTCGCTCACATCAGTTTGTTCCTGGCGTTGCCAGTAATACCCTTGCTGATTCCTGCTCTTGCGCGTAGTAATCTTTTGACCAGGTGTGTGTGGGTGGCTGCAGGGGGTTGATGCACAGGCAAAAGGGAAGGAAATAGGTCATCCTTCTTTGTGTTGGCTCTTCGTGGCTTGTGGCAGTAAAAATGCAAAGGTGAGAAATTAAGGTGAAAACAATACAGAAATTAGAAGGAGTTCTTCTTGCAGCAAAATTTCTTAGTGATGCACTTCAGGATTTTGGAAACTTTCAACACAGCGTTACGTTCTTCCGTCACCTGATAACCTGTTTTCCACAACTGAGAATTAAAATATGCAGATTTGTCACACTCGTACGTTATCACATCCAGCAAACGAAGTCAAGAGAGGCTGGAGAGGCTCTCTGGGTTGTGTATGTGTGCATGTGTTTACACTGCTCAGCCTTCTCGATAGTTTAAACGCTCCCCTGTAGGCTGCGCTGTTAAATCTGCGGAGGGGGCTAGCGGACAAACGTTCTCGCTGCTGACCCAGTAGATGAACCCGAGTGTAGCTGACGTGGCAGTTAGGAAAGCCTGCTTTTTCCTACTTTCTGAATGGGAGAAGGGCATAGTGGTATTCTGCTTTGATCAGAAAGGCACCAGACGCTTTCTGGCTCTGGGAGGGTTGAGTGCCAGATGTTGTTAGACGCTGAGTATATGCTTTGGGCTATCTGCGACGTGGGCTTTAAGAAAGGGGACACTGAATTGGTGTAAGCTGCTACCGTGGTGTTGCTGAAGTCCCAGGGCAGGTACAGCTTACACCGGCTGATGATCTGCCTGAGTTCATTATGGTGGAGGGATGTCTAGGATTTCATTTTCTCTGGTACTTTGACCATTCCCATCTCCTTTTCCCCTTAAGAGTCAGTCAAAACAAAGCCTGTTTTAAAAGAAATGAATGTAGAAAACGTGAAACGTAAGGATCTTTTACAAAGCGTCTTTTACAGTGCTGCGGACATAAAACAGGGCAGTGGAAGATAAGCCATTATGTATGTTGAGGAAGTCTAAGAATAAAGATTATAGGCAAACAGTCTACCTTTCTTTACAAGGCCTTGATTTACATCCCTGAAATCTCAAATTTAGCTATTACAATGAAGTCCTGTTGCAGACAGAGCTGACTTCTTATCACCACTTAAAATCTAATTAATCCGTATTCAAGCACAAAGATTTCTGTTGTGTTTTAGGGTGAGGGGTCATAGAGCCTTCTTTGTTCATCCTCAGGCTTGTAATCATCAGGCATTGGGATATAATTTTACCAAGCAAATTGGAAGGTAGCAGATCAAATCCTTATTGGAAAGCCTAACTCATGGTTTAGCGAAGTCCTTCGTCCTTTATGTGAAATACTATATTCATGAAGAACAAAAAACTGTTTCAGAGCATGCAAAGGGTTAATAGCGAAGGCTTATATTTGGGGCGGCAGAGAGCTAAAGTCATCATAGCTTCCACCACCACCAAAGATAGCAGTTGTTACAGACCTGCTGGGGAGACGTTCCTCCTCAGGCTGCTAGGACTCTGCTCTTACAATGGCTTTGGTCTATCGCCTTATGATGCAATTAGGTGGCATATTGTTATCTCTTTCGGGATGGGTCCTATCCTGTCTCACTACCTATTTACCTCAGTGGAAAAATCTTAACTTGGAACTGAATGAACTGGAGATCTGGACCATGGGACTCTGGCAAGCTTGTGTTGTCCAGGAAGAAGGGGGGATGCAATGCAAGGACTTTGATTCTTTCTTGGCTTTGCCTCCAGAGCTCAGGATTTCTAGGATTTTGATGTTTTTTTCCAATGGATTGGGGCTTTTGGGCCTCTTGTTCTCAGGATTTGGGTTGGACTGTTTGAAAATTGGTGAAAGACAACAGGAGCTAAAGAAACGGCTGTTGCTGTTTGGAGGAATGCTCTTCTGGATATCGGGGATTACAGCTATTGTCCCAGTTTCTTGGGTTGCCCATTCCACAGTTCAGGAATTTTGGGATGAGAGTATACCAGATATTGTCCCCAGGTGGGATTTTGGGGAAGCATTATTTGTTGGCTGGCTTGCTGGATTTTGTCTTATACTAGGAGGATCTCTACTTAATTGCACAATCTGTTCAACTGAAGTCCATCCATCTTCGGTCCATTATGCCGTAGCAGAATTGCAAGATCAGTGTCAACACTTGGAAACTGAAACTAGGCCTGAAAATTGAAGGTTTTAAGTAGTACAGAAAGACTGCCCTATCTCTTTCAAACTCTAGTGCAAGCCAGAAGCTTGTTCCACTAGTAGTTCAAAGGACTCTTTGTTACCTAGCTGATTTGCTGAACGTACGTCTCTTTTTTCCATAACTGGTGCTTGAAAGCAGTGTTTTCCTCACCTGCGGAACTGTTTAAAACTTTGTTTCACAGCAGGATGCTGAAGTTTTCATAGCTTGCGCAAAAAAGATGCTTTTACTCTCTCGACTGTACTGTCCAATTCTAAAAATGAGTAAGCATGTTCCCGTACATCTTGGCTTTTAACGAAAAGTATGCTTCCTTTTCATATAAAACCAATTAAATGAGCCTCAAAACTTGACTCCCTGTTGCACCTGCCTAATGCAGTGACACACGAGCTTGAGTGTTTTCACATCCCGAACAGCCTATGTTATTTGCATTGCCTCAAACAGATCTAGATGTGTACTTGAAAACTATTGGGGTGTCTAAGAAAACTGTGGCTCGCTGAAATGCTAGCAAGAAGTGCAGAAAGCCTTTCATGTATGGTGTATTGGCATGGGTTCTTCATGTCCAGGAGGTTGTTTTCCCAATCTAGCACGCCAAGTGCCACATACAAGTTATTCACGTACAAGTGTTTTGGGAACTGCATGCTTTAGGTACCCAAAAATAGGCTGAGTGGCAGCTCTTCAAAAAATGCTAAGATCTTTTTCCACCAGAAGCACTGAGTACTATGCGTCCTATAAAAGGCTTCTGTAGCAACAATGTTGTTCTGTACATGCAAACTTTCTGACTTCAAGCAAATGATGTTGTTAGTCAGCCAGGCACAGTGCAGCCAGCACCATTCCTTGTAAGCAGAACTGTGTCCATGTGCTAATTAAACTCCCTTATACGTGTGCTTCCTAACCTTTTTTTTTTTTTAATGCAAACAATGAGATGCTAAAATTAGCAGAACTGTTATAGTGTTTACAGAGATTGATGGAAAGCCAAGTAGAGGCTTTTAAAAAAAAAAAAAAACCAAAAACAAAACTAAAACCTATGAAACATTAGCCCAGCTGTGGCCACACCTTCCAATTACTGGTTTACCACACTACTTCCCCATCCCCCAAATATTGCACATGGAACCAGGTAATATGTCTTGCAAATGCTGGAGGGGGAGGAGTGTGTCATGCTTTATAAAGCATTGTTCTAACTTTTGCTTCTGTTCATTATGACAAAGAACTAAGCAGAAGCTTGTCTGCAAAAGCAAGCAGTTTAGCCCTTCTATGCCCACTAAAAATGAACTTGGTCCACAGAGGCAGGCTGCAGTTAGTTGGATTACTGTTGTCTGTAGTAGGATGGATTTTAACTGGTGCCTGTAACTATTTGCCAGACTGGAAAAATCTCAATTTAGACTTAAATGAACTGGAGACCTGGACCATGGGACTCTGGCAAACCTGCATAGTCCAAGATGGAGGAGGAACACAGTGTAAAGATTTTGATTCTTTCTTAGCTTTGCCTGTAGAATTCAAGATTTCCAGGATTTTAGTATCTACATCAAATGGACTAGGACTTGTGAGCCTTGTGATTGCTAGTCTTGGTTTGGACTGCCTAAAGATGGAGGCTTCAGAGCAGAAAGTGAAGAAACGGCTGCTACTACTTGGAGGAATACTGCTATGGATGTCTGGTGTTCTGGCCTTAGTCCCTGTTTCTTGGGTTGCCCATGTTGTCATCCAGGAATTTTGGGATGAAGATATTCCAGAGATTGTGCCCAGATGGGAAATGGGGGATGCAATGTTCAGTGGTTGGTTTGGTGGCTTTTTTATAATTATAGGAGGATCCTTACTCCTCTCCACCGTCTGCTCATCAACCGACCATCCATTACCAGAGCAGTATACAATGGCAACTACGCAAGATACCCATCAACATGTGGAAACTGAAAATAGAAGATTTTTAAAAAGGGTAGATACCAGGTTTTCAGATTTTATTCTTGCATTACAGTAAGAAAGGTCTGCTGACCAGATAGGTTACTGTTTACAAGATATTAGGGGCATGTTTTTCTTACTGTACACTTCCTTTAATAACTACTTACTACTTTAATTACTACTTAATCTTAATTAACTGATGAGCTATACAGATCTGATTAAGTCACCATGCTTTCTTCCAAAACCTGATCAAGTGCTGCTTTAGGATAGATGAGCATAAAATTTTGGATCTCTGGGGCTGCATGGAGGCTTGACTTTGTATTACCCCCATCGACTCAGAGGGTCTGCTTCAATGTCTTGCTTGCAACAATAACATTAGCTTAAGTCCTCAGACAGTTTGTAGTGCCGGCTCAAAATGCATTACAAAGAATGAACAAGGTATAATCTTAAATGAAATTCCACAGACCTTTACCATTTATACTAGCATAAAGTAAACCTTCTCAGACAATGTCACATAATACAATATTCCCCTTTGTTTGTGAGAGAGCGAGAATCGACAACTGAACATATCCCAGCACAAGCTCTCTCCAAGGAAAGCCAGGTCACAGTGTTCTTGAATTATAAGATGCTGTCTGGTGGAGAGCTGACCTTTGCTCGTTGCTATTGCAGTTTTTACTTAATGAATGTAAAGAACTAACTTCCAAGTATATGAATCACTTTTCTCTTTAACTTATCCTAAGACTTGTCAGTGATTGATGTGAACTTTCTATAAATTGCAATGGCTTTAAGTTGACAAAGCTGTAGCAACCATCTGTTTCTGCAAAGAACATAATATAGAGACATAAAACAGCAATAAAAGAATGAAATAAAACGCTAGTCTGGGAAAGAGCTTTGTTTTTAAAAAAAAAAAATGTATTTTCCAATCACTGAAACACATGGAAAGTGCAGAGACAAGTTAATCTATGTGATGTATTTGCATACTCTTACAGACAAAATTAGAACAGAAACACATTCAGAATATAACCTGATTAAATATTTAGTTCAGTCCTGAGCATTTGATATTTAATACAGTATAAACATAGCAATAGTAAAAAGAGCTTAAAATTATTTGATTTGTATCCTATTAAAATTTCTGCTAAAATTTGCTCATTTGGCTAAATATTCTTGTACCAGTAATATTTAGATTTTGATACATGCAACTGTGGTGACATTGGTACCTGGAAACAGAACTAATTACATTCGTTATGCCCTGCTGTGCAGAGTAAATTCTACTTAAAAAGTAGTATTTGTAAGTTTAAACTGACAGGGGTTTATCCGTATGCATTTTAGTTTATTGTATTGAGTGTTTCACGTATGAATAATTTGAATTAATTTAAAAAAAGAAAAAAAAACCCAAACCCAGAACTGTTTAAAAGCTGTCTATGACATATGTTCAAAACTACTGATTTAGGAAGTGAGGAGCATCAATATGTTTAAGTAAGTCTCTCATTTTTAAATGAGAGTTTTGCAAGCTAAAGCCAGCAATACTTCAATTTGGACCTCACCCTGTACTTACCAGGTGATAATACTTTTTTGAAAGTTATTCAACATGTGAGGGGAAAACAGCTAATCTGGTAAGAATTTAGAAAGCTCTAAATATTTTCCACAAATAGCATCCTTAATGTCAAACATTTTATGGCCAGAACTGAACTATAATAAACAGAACATAAATAAGACTGTAAATAAATAAAAGAAAAATCATAAAGTACACCTCTAAACATCATTCTACAAACATCTTATATAATCAAATTGAAAAGTTGAAACAGTCAACCTTCATTTCACCTCTACATTAAATAATTCCAGATTTGTTTTTTAAAATTTGACCTTTCAAACATGAATGGTATCTCAAACCCAAGAAACCAAAAACAAATGGGGCATTCATAAAGGTTGTTCAGCCAGCTATCTTACCCAAAACAGTGTAATGTTTGGCTATGCATTTACAAGAATTGATGTATTTGTGCATAAGAAAATCCTTGAGTGAGGCTTACACAGACCTCTCATCACAGAATTGTCACTCTGAATTTGAGACAGCTGCTACAATATTGTGGTTATAGTCTCTTGCACTTTCTCACAAAGTAATTACAGCCTTCTGAAAGATGAAGACCATGTGTTTGTGGCTTGTTGCTTGGGGAAGAAAACTTTCACCAGTGAATTAAATACATCTGAGTGCAACAGAATTATTTCATTTTCTACTTAACATGTTTCTGCAGTGTCTAGCTACTTACATAGTACACACTGCTAACCCCAACTGCTTTACCAGGACAGGGCTTTTTGAACAGCTTATGCTACATCTAACGTTCTGGACTTCCAACATGAATCCAAGCTGACATGTCTTCCTAGCAGGTTGGTTCGGGTAAGACAAATTTGAAACTTGCTATTCACTTTTACTTATTACACCTGTGCAACTTGAACTGCATACGGGTCATACATATGTTTTTAAAAATGGAATTTATCCTACCGAAATAAGTTAAGCCTCCCTAGCCAGGAGCTTTCCTTTTTCAGAAAGGGTTTACAATACCAACAAGACTTCTGATATCTGAGTTAGCATGCGACAGAGTGAAAAGTTTTCCTTCTGGTACAAATACTTTAATGAAAACATCCCCATATGTAAACCTAATGAATATTTTTACATATTCCTAGTTGGTAAATAGACAACCCCTAGGACAAAAAAACTACACTTAAAAAGGAGAGTTTCACTATATTGCAGTGGATATAACTATTCTGATTTCAGTGTTGATATTATAAATTTGATTCAGCTTCCAGTTCAGAAAGCAGCTGCCCTTTTGGTAGTCTCATCAAAATTTTAGGGTTACTTGTCTGCCTTGCCTTCCCACTCTCCCGCAGACGCAAGAAACCTTTTAGTGCAGGTTAAAGTATTGTACATTCACTGAACTCAGTCTCTTCCTACAAAGAATTAAAAAATAAAAACAGAAAAAACTTGTTTCAGAAACAAAATTCCAATGTGGGTGTTGAATCTAATTAACAGCTGTTGTGAGGCAGCCTTGATGTTTTGGAAAGGAGCTTGCACTTATGGTTAGCTTCAAACTATAAAAGTCTCACTCTTGTACAAAAATATTGCATGGCATAACAGCCATCTTCACAGTCTGCTCACATGAAAATAGTGAAAAGATAAACAATCTTCTGTTGAACATAATATTTCTCAACACAGTGCGGTTCAACAGGATACATGCTTAGTACTGCCTTTGTTCCTTTGTTCCATCTTTACAAAATAAAAGCACACATGCAATACATACAATCTGTACAAAATCAGCATCAGTATACCAAAATTAATCTACTTTGGTTTTCTGGTTGTTGTGTTTTTGCCTTTTTTTTTAAGCATACAAGAATTCAATTCACTGTATTTTACAAATAAACATATCAATAGTGAATGTAAAATAGAAGATCTTTAAAAGCAGGTCACTAGAACTTCAAAGTTCATCTGAAAAAAGATGAGCAAGTAGAAAAACACTGCAGTGAAAAATGCATGATTATACATCATCAGCTGGAAGGGCTGGTATACTGATCTTTGCTCTTGTGAAGTATGCTATCTTCTCCCTAAAATCAGAAAAGAAAACATGTTTATTATTTATCACTCCAATGTCATCTACTGTAGAGTTGCTGATGGTACAGTGTAGTTCTGCAAAACAGGAGTTTGGAAAACGCATAGTGAATTTATTTACAACAACTGGTTGCCAGAGCAGCCTGGCATAACTCCTTTGGTAGGCAAATTTATGTAGAAAGCAACTTCAATTTTGAGCAAGAAACATTCAACATTTCAATAGTGACTGCAACACCAAGACTGAAATATTGACCTAGTCACTGTACTTCCTATGCTGGTATTTCAGTGGAGGGAGGAAAAGGCAAAATAAAATACTTGTCTCGACTTTGGAGAGGGAAAAAACTTTAAGAATAAAGTCTGGACAAGACTCGGAAGCCAAATTGTCATCCCATTCTCCACATGCTTCCCTGGTGCTGTTACTGTTTCTGTCTCCTATAGACAGAGAGATTACTGAAGCACGAGGAGCTTGCACCCGTTTGCCTGCCAGCAACCTAGGGAGCAGATGACAAATTTGGGGGTTAAGAATTAAAGCTCAGAAGAGACATTCTTAAGAGCTTCACAATGTCTCTGTGTGATTAGTCTTTGAGGCTAAACCACTCTAAGAAGCCCAACTAGCAGGATGAGTACAAGTCAGCCTTGGAGGTAGCAACTCCTTCTCTAATAGAGTAAACCATGTTTTCAACTGCCTAAACTTGAGTTCCAATCTAGAACAGTACCTCAAAGCAAAAGCAACTCTGTAAACACAGTTCCTGGGCTGTGTGGTGACCAGAAAATAAAGGAGAATGGGGCACTGATGATGTCTTGAGCACTGTTACCTCCACAACTGTGAATGGTGCAGAATCAAAGCAAGAGAGGCTTTTAATGTGTGCCTTATAGGCCCCTATTTGCTTATGGATTTCTCAAACTGTTTACAATACACAAGTTTAAGAAAAAATAAATCCCCAAGTTTATTAGCAGCTTGCTCAAGCTTCCTACACACGAAGTTAAAAGTTTTAAAGTTTGATTCCAGAAATCAAACTTTAAAAACTTACGTTAAAACCTAACTTAACTGCAAACTAATTTCATTGGTTTTATCACTATCTGGAAGAGCAAGCATTGCATTTTTCAATCAACAATTTCTTTTTATACGGAAGTATGGCCTTCAGTCTGCTAGCCTGCCACTTATATCCAGACTATTAGGAATTAACTCCAATTAAAACTGGGATTTGAGACAAAGTGTTTATTCTGGCTTATGCTAAATGAGAGAACTAAATTAACTGTTTCATGTCCTCTCTGCTGCTCCTGCAACCAAAAGGTGGAGACCGACCCCGATCTCCCTTAAGACAACAGTCTTGAACATGACACAGGTAGCGTTTCATCAGTTTCCTGATCATAAATGTATTGTCCAACTTGTCCTTAATAGGTGATTTGCTTCAGGCACCTGGCATCATTGAAAAGGTTTGTATTACTTAAAGCCCAGTGGCAACTTACTGCAGGTCAGCTGAGCCATGGTGTTGGGTCATGAATGTACTTAGCCCGTAGCAGATGCAACACACTGTTATGAAGATCTTCATCCCATTTTTTTTCCCCTCCACAACTCAGCCGACATATAGCCACTTCAATCACACGAGCAATTAGAGGGCTAGTCCTTTGAATCTACAACTTTTAGCTGTGTTAGAAATGAATGATGTTTCTTGCAGCCCAAGACTGTGCGCGCTGTTTTTTAAATAATATCACAGGGCAAGGTGAATTATATTTAGAAATAATTTCTGTTACTTCACTCCAGTAAAGAGAGCCCGAAAAGCAGAACAGGCCATACCTGAATGACTGCACTTGCAGTGGCACTTTCTGGCTCTGCTCCCGTAACCGACATACATCCTTGGAAGCTTTCCTCATCAGTTTCTCAGCGCTTAAACCCTGTTTCTGTTCTTCCTTTGACTGTTCAGCCTGTAAAGGAGAAAAATGACTATATTTTGAAATGAATAGTTGCTCAGCATTATCAAAGAAATGACCTGTATCAAGCAAAACCTCTGCACAAAGGGGCAGCAAAATGAAAGACTCATATCACAGTAAATACGGTAACAGAAGTTTTCCTAAAAAAAATAAACAGAACAAACACCATGCTATCACAGCTGGTTACTAGTTGACATAAGGTTCGATGAGATATTTCTTAAGGTTGTAGATAGACAGTAGCTATATTTGCATGAACAAATGCTGTCTAACCCAATGTCTTTTTAGAAATGAGAGACAGGGATTCTCTTTCCTTGTAAAATAGCTTTCATTAGGAAATTAAAAGTGTTAGGAAAGTTGCCTATCCCTAATCTGAGGTGACAGACAAAAAGATAGAGAAGATATGCTCTTGAAGTATACATCCACGTTTTGTTAACCTTGTTTTCAAAGTAAATATTCATGAACTGTTACTTGCCCCTTTATTCATGACAAGACACCCATTTTAAAGAGAAATTAAATTAACCTGTTATTCAAACATAAGCCTATTCTAATACTTGCAATAACACTTCCATTTTTTGTTAAAGAAATGCTAAGATTTTCTGGGCACTAGCCCCGGAAAGAAGCACCAGGGATTAAAGACATATGTTTTTATATTGCTTTCAACCAACTGGAAGTCTAGCTGTAGCATGCACTTCAACTCAGAGATGTTCTATAATTTTATACAAGAAAATAATTGCTTTAGAACACACTAAAACGCTTACATTTAACAGATAAGTCGGGAAAACAAAACAGTCAAAAGAGCTGTTTTCCTCCAAAATATTATTTTCCACATAACCTTCAAGTATGATAATGCTTTGCATCCTC